TTGCCCGAGCACGCCAAGATCAATGAAACCGATACCTATGGCCACGAAGGCTTTGAGGACAACGTCGAGTTCGACGAGGACCGCGAGTCTGAAGACGAGAAGGAGATCGATGTCGACGAGCTCTAAATACCCTTCACCCCTGTGCAGTCAACCCTGCGCGAGCCCACCGGGGCACCCTTTACCGCCAACTCTGTTCTCCGACCCCAGGAGGTTCTGTCGATTCTTCTTTCCGTTGCGACCAGCGGTTTCTGCCGCGCATGGGAGGAAGTTCGACGCCTGGGCTCTTTCTATTCTTGTGTCGCCTGTCTTCCGAAAAGGTGACACCGAGGAGGATCTGAGTTGCGGAGCCTCCCCGCTTCGCGTTCGAGACCGCTTCAAGCGCCACCCGGTGCCGTTCCTATCTGTCAGGGTTGATAGGGGAATTTCTGAGATCGTGCATGCTGCTGAGCTGAGTCGGCTGTGCCGTAACTCGGTCTCCGTCGTGAATCGCGATTTCGGGTAATTCTACAGAGAAATAGTTGCCGATGCATGTAATGAAACTGGCTGCAAGCTGCATGTTTCGTGTTAGCAATTCGTTTGTCTGTTATTTCGTTCCTTTTTTCCTGTTGAAAATTGACGATAGACTCATGAGAGGTTTATGATAAATAAAATATTTCAAAGACTTCTTCCCGATTGTACATGTAGCTGGTAGTCACTCCTCATTATTTGTATAAACTGTGCCCATATGCGTCTTGAGTATAGACAATCTCAACTATTATCGAACAAATTTTTACGGAAGAAGCCAACGATCTTCCGCGCTGCCTCCCTTCCAATCAGAGGATCAAGCTGCTCAACATCCATATTCGCAATCTCGCTGATATTTCCCATCTCGAGGATAAGTCGCTCGAGCACCTTTGGCGTCACGCCTGGAACAGCACGCAGCATGTCCTGAGGAAGAGCATTGAACGTACGATGCTCAATCCCCGCCGCCGTCATGACATCACCTGGATGTGACGATGCGACAATATCCATATCGAGGCCAATCTGCACAGCCCGGAGAGGGTCCGGTTCCGGGTTATTTTTCTTCAGCTCAGCGAAGATCTCGGCGGTCTGATAGGGTGAGGACGACCATATGATCTTCAGGCGTGGGAAAGTCAGAGTGAGAAGCACGAGGAGATGCTGGGCGGATTTGGGGCTGGATGGGTTCATGAGGGAGCTGCTGACGGATAGGGAAGTGGTTCCTGTTCCGGATGACGAGAAGCCATAGTCGGTAAGGAATGATGTGCCGGGTGTCGACGCGGAGGCGAACGCGTCGAATGTGAAGGATTTATTCTGGTCGAATTCGATGAGCAGTAGAGGGTTCTTGTAATGCTGGAGCATCGTCTCGGCCTGGTTGTAAAGGCGGCCATTTCTCAGCGAAGTGATGAGGTCACGGACTGATTTACGCTCCACGCAGATATCGGGAGTCAGGATATAATCGCCGACTGTTAACTGGCACGGGACGATGATCATGTTGTTCCCGTGCAACAGAGACGGCAGAGCGCTTCTGAATTCTCGGACGTCCACGACTACTCGAGGAGGTGACGCAGTTGCGGCTAATCGACCCCCTCCGGCGATACGCGTGTTCACTGTGCGAAGGAATTGTTCCTGAGGATCTTCTTGACTCTTGTCATGGGTGAGGGTGACAGCCATGCTCTGGTGATGATCAATTAGTACAAGGGAAGAGTGAGACATGGTCGAAGTCGCTTACCCCTTTCTCTTTTATAAGCTTAGTAAACGAGTCCTTCTCTCGTCGGACGGCACTCAGGTAACGTTGTTCTTCCACAGAGCCCCCGTAGTAGATGAAGTATACCCTTACATTCCTTGCAACATGCGAGCTGCGATAGACTTCCACTCGCCGAATGAATGCTGGGTCGGGTTCGTACATAATAATGTATCGCGGCCGCACTTCTTCCAGTATATGCTCGTCCATATCGCCATCGTAGGGATGCACTATGACCAGGTCGTCCATGTCATATAGCTCGAAGAAGTCTTCCATGTCTTCCAGATCATCATTGATGATCTCTCCTTTCTGTGTCTCTTCAATATCAGTTGGTTGTAATTCTTCTAGTAAGCTAGAAACTTGGCCCGGCAATTCGGTGTCAGTCTGCACGCTAGCATTCGGCACTCGCGCTGCAGCCGATGTTACTGCTCCTCCACCGCGGACACGACGTCGCTTGTTCGGAGGAGCTCTGCCCTGCTGACTCGTTGGCTTCGGTGACTCCTGGCCCTTTGCGTTCTGCGTGTCGTCGCTTGATTTGGCAGATAGATTCCTGTTAACATTTGCCAACGAAGTCTTCCAATCAAGATATTCGCGTAGTCTCCTCCGCAACATTACCTCCGCAGAAAATTTCTTTTCACTCATAGCATCAAGGTCCTCCAGATCTTCTGCCTTGTCTTTACCGATTCTGGCATGCATTGTTCCGAGATACTCCCTGATCTGCCGGCAGGTCCGTTGGTCGGTACACATGATGAGGACAGTACTATTCGATTCATCCGTGCTGACAGGATTTAAATAAGCATCTTGTTCAATCTCCTCTAGCACTTCTGCTAGAACGGCCCATTTGGGCTGTTCCTCCAGGACAGGTCGAAGGGTAGAATCAAGAGTATTGGCCGCATCACGGGTGATCTTTCCTTCGTACACCCTTGACTTCGCGGTCTGGAAGAGTACGTGAGCAGCATCGAGAAAGAGCCAGGGTGAATAATTATGTCTTGTCGAACCAGGCGGTGGGGAATGCGCGGTCACAATAGTATCCAGGTATTTCACGAAGGAGACCGCATCATAGGTAAGCAACGCGCTGTACTAAGAGTGAGTTCCTATGCAGACACCAGATAGTGCATGTTTGAGGCAATCAGACGTACTGAAGAATCGAGCGAAGATCAGACAGGTCGCTGACAATCTGTCTGGTCCTAAAACTCACTCGATGCCACATGGGATCGAGCTGACGCCTTATCGCGATATCAAAGCTCCTATGCAACGCGCTGTCCAGAGTCCAGTCCGCCATGTCAAGTCCAGTATTTGCTTTCTTCAATTCTGCAATACTGATTTCCACACACTCTAGGACCGCATTCTGGATTTCGCGCATTTTATCGGTCATCGGCACCTCAAGCTCAATCACCTCGGCTTTCCTGTGTCCCTCTAATGACTCGGCAACAGTGACGTGAAAACGTGGCCATAATGATGTTTTGCGCAAAAACAGGTTACGCATATAATTCGCCAGAGGAGCAAATCCCGTCGTGAACGGCTCTGGCGAGTCGGAGAAAGCCTTGAGAAAGCCAGACTTGTTGATTTGCCGATAGATCCGAATTATGAAAGCTTCAGTAGAAGTTGCTACTATCCTAGGATACCTTCAGCGGACGTTCGTTGATGATCTCTTGGCACTAGGTTATACCTGTCTGCGTGGAGTACAACCATGCCTGTGATCTTTTCTGGGTCGAGGAGTTCTATGGGCATGTCTTAGAAGATAACATCCTGGTACTCAGAAAGACAGCTTACTTGACAGTAGATCAACCACAAGTATCCTGGATGTTACACTCAGGATACCACCTTGGGCGTAGATCTTCTCTCTGGAGGATTATCAGTGACTAGATACCTATTCCACTCATATAGCACCTACCGCATGGGAACCGTCGCCCTTTCGGTGTTGATGACTTTAAGACCCCTGGCCAGCGGGGTCTTGCTAATGGCATAGTGTTCCGCGAGGGCTACGAGCTTTAGTCTCGCAACTTCTGAAAGACCTGTAAGATATTGCTATCCGCGTACTCCGTACCTTCACCGATCCATTCATTCTCCCGATCATCAGCACCCACAACCAGTACTAAGTTATTCCCTGCAGCATCGTAGAAGTGGAGTAAGTTCGTCACCAAGCGCAGGAGGCCTAAGCCTCGGGCAAGGATGACAAGCTCATCTTCGCCGCGTAGTTCGTTGAAGATGTCCTGCTGATATTGCTGTATGCGATGCCGTCAGCACATGGACTGCGGTCCAGGAACGATCTTTCAGCTCTAATAAGGCGCTTACCAAGGGCAAGGACAGCTTCACCGGGACATTGGCGCGTTCAGGTGGCATGACGAGCCTCTTGACGCGGAAAATCGTCCTTTATTGCGATAAACTGAGCATTAATGAGGACGCGATGTCACCTGACTATGATGTAATTGTCCGAATTGACTCAAGTAGTTTGGACTACCTTTTTCGGCCTAGCACAAGAAATGGCCTCAGATCAGCATTATTGTTAGCAACGCCGACAGGAACTTCATAAGTCAATCCAGCTTGACACCCTCAGCCGGTGATTCAGAAACATAATGATTGTTGCCAGATGCGTATGTTGGATTATGCACATCGCGCCACACAGTAAAGCTCTGTGATTGCCGCCTTATAGCGAGGACTGATGCGGATCATCTGGTGTTCCGTACTCTTGCTAGAATCGGCCCAATGCTGATTCTGAGAATCTACTTAGTGAAGACAATGGCTGTGGTAAGGACGGACATATAGAATGGACCGATCGATTGATGTTTGTCTATTGAATTGGTGAATACAACTTTCAAGCAGTGGCAGTCTCATGTTTCGCTCAACAAGCGGACCCTGAGGCCTCAAAGCTTTGAAAATTGGAATAACGCCACTGGTCTCCAGAACTCCCATTCTACAAGAAGTACTTATGATAATCTGCAGTTCGTGAGTGAGTTATTCATGCCCAAGCATGGTGCCGCTGATGCTTCAAATTCTTTGGCTCAGCAGCTATCGCTCGAGATCCGAAATAGATTTCAAGATTCACCAATTTTGGGAAACAGGATTTGCAGATTGTTTGGTACTATGCTGGACAATCATCGCTCTGGTACAGTCGGGTAGTGTGTCATTGCAGTCGTTGCACTCGTTAATACAAGAAAGGAAACAAGTAAGGAGGATGGGAAGGAGCTGAAAATCACAGCGATTTTGTTGAGAAGACGGCATAATCCTGAAATAATCGTCCGCAGCAAAATACATCATTCTACTGGTTCAGTTCCTTCTTGCGCTGTTCGATCTCCTCCCTCGAGGCTTTGGGTGGCATACCTAGATCGCTATCAGTAGGCTGTATAATGTTGTCTTTGTGAAGGTATTCTCACTATCAGGAATCTGGGGTCCCTTAGAGATATGATCAAAGGCAGTAGCCTTCTTTTGCTCATGCTCTGAGCCCTTCGAGGAGTTGTCTTCGGGGTTATTGCTTCCCTGCGCCGTGGGGAAGTTGGAAGTGTCTGACGGAATGACAGGCATGATGAATTCCGTTGAACGGATATTGCGTATCTTCTTAGATTAGCTGATAGATAGTGACTTTGAAATGTCTTTGCAAACTTAGGGAGATAGTTGATAGAATCCAGGAATTCGAAAAGGCAGTAAGCAAGCAGGCCTACTTTATACTTGGTGTAATTCGTGGTAGGCGGGATGACGTCGTCGTAGGTATACTTCATGCATTTATGTTGTGCAGCAGTCCACAAGACCAGGATTAACTCCTTGATTAAATTTAGTTAACGGACAGTCATTTCTAAGGTAATAATATTGACTATTATCGAATTCAGTGGGTTCTCTAGCCCCTAGAAGTCCGACATTCAGTGAAGCTGCCTATATATACAACTAAATCTTTGTACTGTTAGTCAACTATAGCAGTGATACAAATGTATATATTAGGCAGGCATTTCTTCCCTTTAACAGATGTGTGGCCTAAACAGGATGAAATTACCCAGAGGAAAAAAGACAGATATTGAACTAAGTAACTGGCATGGTTTCTAGATGTTAATAATTATATTCTATTAACCTCGCAGTAGATATCTATTAGACATCAATCAGTCAGTCAGTGCTGCTACTCTGTAGATACAGCCTGGTAGTACAAGATAGTGATGGAAGTTCCCCACCTCTGCTTTGGTTTAGTGCCCCCCAGTAGGTAACCACCAAACTCCAGTGTCCGAAGTGACCGAACCCAACAGGCTCATCTTCTCTCTCTCCTATCTCCTACACAAATACCACGCTACCTTTTTGCTTCAAACCTCCCTCACTTTTATAGAAAAGAAGCAGTTTTATCTCCTCCCTTTACTCTACTTATTCAATTCAGATTCTATCATTTCCCAGCCTCTCTTTATAACCCCGTGGTTGCCGCAGTGTATCAACACCCGTGCCTAGCACACGAGCGCTCTTCGATTCTCATTGAAGCAGCCACACCTCTCCTCATGCGATGAATCCGCGACACATAATATAAGAAAAGTTATTGTTGCCACCCATCCGTCGTGCAATTTATCCCTCTGTCGTCCAGTCTCAGCGCTCTGAGTGATCCGTCATGCCGTCCATTCTCAGCGACGCCGACAAAGAAACCGTGAAGAGGAATGTCTCGAAACCTTCGAACAAGATCCTTGCTGTAGCCGTTGCGCGGCTCTATGTCGCATACCCGGATCCCCAAAGATGGACATACACAGGTCTGCAGGGTGCTGCGGTGCTTGCCAACGACCTGGTCGGGCGGACTTTCTGGCTGAAGCTAGTGGATGTATCTGTGAGTAGTTACTTCTCGGAACAAGGCTGGAATTCAGAGAACAGACTACTGACGGCTCCCCGCCACTTCGGAGCATAGCCTGCTGGGAGAGGTGTTATCTGGGACCAGGAAATCTACGATAATTTCGCATACAATCAGGACCGCACGTTCTTCCACACATTCGAGCTTGAAGACTGCGCGGCCGGTTTCTCCTTTGCTGATGAGAAAGAGGCAAAGACCTTCATCAAGAAGATGCATGAGCGGGAGAAACATGCAAGCAAGGAAACCCGTCAAACACCGTTCGCATCAACTCGAGGTCAGGGTCCGGCCCCTATGGTCAATGGCAAATCCGGCGTGGGACGCTCGCTGTTTGGCAGTCTCTTAGGCCATCGGTCACCCTCTGGTTCGAGTGCGCCACCTCCTGCACCCACACCGGCAGCACCTTCCGCGCCTCCAACTCAATTAGCTCCTCCGAGCGGGCCCCCGCGTAAGGAGTTGCCCTTTGATACTAGTGATCCATCATGGAAGGGGCTCCTAGATGAACTTCTGCAGATGGGAATTACGGAAGACCAGATTGCGGAGAATTCCGACTTTATTAAGGCCTATATAGAACAAAGACAAGGCAACGAAGCCGAACCCACAGCCTCTCCTTCGGAAGATCAGAGGCGAAGTAAGGCTCCGCCTCCTCCACCTCCATCAGCGCCTCCCGCCTTGAAGACCACCCCTATCAGTCCACAAAACACCGGCAACAGCGCGGGCAGTCGACGGGGCGCGCCGCCACCTCCTCCCCCGTCGCGCAAAGCTCGTCCTGAAGTGGAAGAGGAATCGGCGCCTGCACCAGCTCGTGAACCATCACCTCCGCGACCCAGGTTCCGTGCGCCGCCTCCAATCGCAGATGCTGGGAAGCTCGCTCACACCGTTGGCCCTCCCGTTCCTGGCCGACAGAGAGCCATGTCCGGTACCAACCCTGGCCCGCCTCCTCCTCCGCGACCTCCCAAGACTCCTATGGAGGATGGTGGTGGCCCGCGTTTCGGCGTTCCTCCTCCATTCCAGGGGGAGCGGAAGGTATCCGCCCCGCCAGCACCGCCCAGCCGTAGCTCGGCACCTCCAGGGCCGCCTCCCCCTCCTCCGCGAAGCCCTGCCACCCCGCCACAGCTTCCTCCCAAAGTTCCTTATGCGCCGACCTCTGCGGCAGGTCCTCCGCCTCCTCCACCGGCCCGCAATCCTGTCCCACCTCCCGCACCTCCGCCAGTTCCTGCTGCTTCACGGCCAACTCCTCCCCCTCCGGCCACTAGTGCTGTGCCTCCTCCGCCTCCACCCCCTTCAGCGAGTGTTCCACCACCACCTCCCCCTCCTCCTCCAGCAAGCGCAGGACCACCCGCACCTCCGCCTCCTCCTCCCCCGTCAATCGCAGGCCCTCCACCACCCCCGCCGCCTCCGCCGGCTCCTGGCGGCTCCGCGCCTCCTCCACCTCCGCCTCCTCCTGGTGCCAGTGCACCTCCCCCACCTCCCCCTGCGGGTGGCGCGGCTCCACCTCTGCCTAAGCCAACGGGTGGTAGGGATGACCTCCTGGCTGCTATCCGAGCTTCTGGAGGCGGCGGATTACGGAAAGTCAAAGATTCTGAGAAGAGAGATCGGAGCGCTGCCCTTGTTCCCGGATCTGCTGCTGAGTCGACCGCGCCAACACCAAGTAGCGGAGGTGCCGCTCAAGGAGGTTTGGCCGGCGCTTTGCAAGACGCCCTTGCGAAGAGGAAGCAAAAAGTTAGCGGTAGCGGTAAGTTTCTCCCACATCAATTGTCCGCTAGCGAAACAAGCTAATAATTCGTACAGATGATGAGAAAGACGATGACGACGATTGGTGATCCCATTCGCATGCTTGTAGCTTCTCTGTTTGTTGCTGAGTCTTCCAGTTCTATTCAATGCATGAATTGGCGGTCACAGGATGGGGTTCATCTTCTCGTTGTTGATACCATGCATGTCTGCGACATTTTTCATTCTCTTTTTTGTCGCTTTCAACTAGTGGCGAAGACTTGTTCGCGAGGGAGAGTGGCGCTCAGCATCCCCTTGAAGGTTTTATCAAAAGGGACGAGAACGAGGGTCGATTCTAGAGATGTATGCAAAATCACACCTAAATTCCCTTCAACCCCTTTAGAAGGCTTTTACAATCACGCTGCTAACAGTACGTCAGTTCCGGGACATTGCTCTGGCTCTGTGTACTTGGCAACGGACAAGCTACCCGTTCGTTCAGTAAGTAATCTTGAGGGTTGCAGTGTAGATCGAACCACCAGTAGATAGACCACGTTCTAGGAGGCAATATCTACCAATGATGGAGATAATCGGCGATGACGGTGCAAGTATACGGAACATTGTTGATCCGCTATCGTCTTGCGGAAACACTTCGAGCAAGAAAATAGATTGAAGTATCTCATGAACTCATCAATTTCCAGAAGAAAACAATAAAGAAAGGCGACTTTCAATCAATCTGGTTGACTGCTCGTTAAGGCAGCCCAGATATGCTGTCATCGTCGCATCTGAAACCCTCAGCCCCTTCAACGACGCTCCTCCGATTTTTGCGCTCTCAAACCGATTTTCTCAGCGTCAACTCATCAACATGCGCACGTCCTCCCCGAAGTAAGCCATATGTACATCAGATCCTTCCCTGCGACGCATCCTCAAGAGCTTTGTCGACCTGGACCTGCACTGCTTCGGCACCACGGCGAACGACTTTGCAGACCAACCTAGTCAGAACCCCTACCCTCGCGGCAAGAAGTCATAGCAGTTCGCGGCCTCGACTCTGGCTCTGTACCGGCCAAGCTGGACGCTCGTCTTCAATTTTTCCCTTATCAAGCGCACCGTACTCACGATCTGTTTCCACCAAGAGCCGTCCACTCCTACGCAGACTTCTAGATCTGAGGCGTAGCAACGCCTCAGCGGATAAGCACAACCGCGGCGGCGGGCCCGCGCTGATTGACGATGGAACAGAGGGAGGTTTCACTATTGGCCGAGGGCTAGCAGCGAAAGCAACGAACGAGCCACGGCTACGGTGTACGGAGTTTGACAAGAATGGGAACGTCACTCTTGTGAATGGCGAGTTTAAGAAAAGCGAGTTGATCGCAAAGGTGCGTTGCTTATCTGCATGACACTGCGTGCCGAATATAAAAATTAATGATCGATTGAAGTATGGACTTCTTCCTAGAGATCTTCGCAAGATCGACTCCTCGACTTTGCCGCACATCCTTGTCCGACCGAGCGCGATCCTCATCAACCTGCTGCATCTTCGCGTTCTGATCAAGCATGATCGAGTCCTTGTGTTTGATGCCTATGGATCGACCGATTCGTATATGCAATCGTTATTTGTATATGACTTGGAGGGGAAGCTACGGCAGAAACAGACAGGAGGATTCGGTGCTCTACCGTACGAATTCCGCGCCTTGGAAGCAGTGCTGATCAGCGTTACCACCGGTCTGGAGGAAGAATTCAATGGTGTGAGGGAGCCGGTCGTGCGTGTGCTTCGCGCTTTGGAAGAAGATATCGACCGGGATAAGTTGCGACATCTCCTGATTTACTCCAAGAAACTCGGTACCTTTGAGCAGAAAGCTCGTTTGGTGCGAGATGCCATTGATGACCTCCTTGAAGCGGACGATGACCTGGCTACAATGTATTTGACCGAGCGTGCGAATGGCGTTCAGCGGGAGGAAGATGATCATCAAGAAGTGGAGATGCTTTTGGAATCCTATCACAAAGTCTGCGATGAAAT